AGTAGAGACGGGTTTCACCGTGTTACGCACAGATGGGGTCTCGCGATCTCCTACGTCAGATCCGCCCACCTCGGTCCCAAAGTGCGGGGATTACAGCGCATAAGCCACTGAGCCCAGCCCCAGTTTGTACTTTTAATAAAGACAGGGTCTGGTCGGCCAGGCATGGTAGCTCAATGCCCTGGAATCCTAGCACTTTGGAAGGCTGAGGAGGCGGATCACAAGGTCAAGAGACCGAGACGCATCCGGCACACATGGTGACAACCCCGTCGTCTCACTTGAGAAAAACACGAAAAGATATAGACGGGTGTCGGGTGGTGGCGCGGCCTGTCTAGCTCCCCGCTAAGGCTTTCGGAGGCTGGAGCAGGATCATGGCTGAACCAGGAGCCAGCAGCTTGCAGTGAGGCCTAGATCTGCGCCACTGCACTCAGCCTGGCAACCGCGACTCCATCGTCAAAAGTAAATAAACAAATAAATAGAAGGACAGAGTTGCCACTATGTTGGCCAGGCGGTCGGTCCGAACTCCTGGCTCTCAAGTGATCCACCCACCTGGCACTCCCAAAGGCTGGATTCATTCGTGAGCCGCTGTGGCCCAGGCGCAGAAGTATTGTTGTTAGATTGTAAACATGGGAGTCAATAGGAATTGAGCTGGCACAGCGCTCACGCCTGTAATCCAAGCAACTTGGGGGGCTCGAGGCAGGTGGAGTGCCTGAGCTCAGGCGTGTCGAGATCAGCCTGTGCAACATAGGGAAACCCTTGTCTCTTACTAAAATTACAAAAAAATTAGCTGGGAGGTGGCATGCGCCTGGGTAATCCCAGTGACTGGAGGCTAAAGGTAAGGATATGGCTTGAACCGGGAGGTAGAGGTGCAGTGAGGCCAGAGATTCACACCATTGGCACCGGGGGTCAACGGGTGAAGCCCCGGCGCCGACTAAAAAGACGAAAATTCGCAGAGCGAGCGAGCCTGCAATTCCCGCTACTCTGGGAGGCCCTTTGGGAAGGGGGGCAGGAGAGATTGCTGGAACTGGGATCGGGGACGTGAGGTTGCAGGAGCTGAGATCGTGCCGATGTACACTCCAGGCCTGCAACAAGGCCAACAAGAGGAAACTCCGTGTCAAAAAAAAAAAAAAAGGAGAGAGAGGAGGGAGGCTGAGGCAGGAGAATGGCGTGAACCCGGGAGGCGGAGCTTGCCGTGAGCCGAGATAGTGCCACTGTGCTCCAGCCTGGACGACAGAGCAAGACTCGGTCTCAAACAAAAAAAAAAGGAAAGAAAAGAAAAGCAGGCTGGGCGTGGTGGCTCACACTCATAATCCCAGTGCTTTGGGAGGCTGAGGTAGGCGGATTACCTGAGGTTGGGAGTTCGAGACTAGCCCGACCAACGTGGTGAAACCCCTGTCTCTACGAAAAATACAAAAATTTAGCCAGGTGTGGTGGCACGCACCTATAATTCCAGCTACTCCCAATGCTAAGGCATGAGAATCACTTGAGCCCAGGAGGAGGAGGTTCCAGTGAGTCAAGATTGTGCCACTGCACTCCAGCCTGGATGACAGAGCGAGACTCCATCTCAAAAAAATAAAAAATAAATAAAATATAAATAAATAAAAGCAGTAGTTCCCCTCTACCTAGATTGTTGACTTCACGATGGCACCAACCTAAGCTCCTAAAGCATCTAATGGGATGTGTCTTACCTTGCCACCCTATGGAGAACCATACTTGTCATCTGGGACTCTAGGGAGCTTTGAACATGGGTAGGAGTGGAGAGAAGATAGAAGAGGGAAAAGGACGCCCTTGCTTAGGCCTGGCCATCTAGGTACAGTACAAAGTCAAGAACCAATTTCAGTGGAGTTACAACACATTCTAACAGCAAGGGCGAAATAATTGGAAGCTGGCTGAAGTGTCTAGGAAGGTCTAGCCAGCACTCAGGTGGCAAGCAGATTGATGGACAAGGCCTGGAGACAGTTCAAGTGGCAAAGGCAGAGGCAAGGTCCTGGCTGAGGATGGCAGGCAGAGGGGTCCTATAGCCAGGGGTCCCACTAAGTGTGGCTCTGCTGACCCCTCACTCACCTGTCACACAGGGTCACTTCGGGTCTGTGCCTCACCTGCAGACAGCCAGAATGGAGAGGGAACAGGCCTGCCAGGAGGTAATCCCCGGGGAGGGTGAAGTCAGGAGAAGGCTCAGTGCTATGGCAGGCAAAGGCCCAGCAGCAGGAAATGAGAAGCTGCAGGCCGACCAGGCAAGCTGTGCAGAGCAGCATGCTGGCCAGACGCCCGCGCCCGGCATGGCCAAGGAGTGGCCTCTAAGGAGGCCAGTTGCTTAAATAGAAGGCAGCTGCCGGATGCTTCCTAACTTCATGCCCCCGAAAGGGGTGGGACTTGGAGCCCAGTGGCTGAAGCAGGACTGTTTGCTTTGACATTCCGGGCCTGTGGTCCAACTCAGGAACTGGGCAGGACGAAGGCACAGATGCAAACCAGGTGGCACCCAGTGACCTTTCCTCTGGACGGTTGTGGGTTCTGTCCACGCTCTGTGACTTCACCTGGCTTAGAAAGGGAGCCCTGGCATTTTGGGGCAAGGTGGGAGGCTGGAACACAACTTCTCCCAGTATTGTGGTGTTTTAGAACTTTTTACCTGTGCCTCAGTTTCCTAAATGAGACACAGCTTTGAGTCGACAACCCCTTACCCCAGACTCCAGTTTTCTGACAATAAGATTCTGAGCAAATCGTCATATACTTTCGCCTCGTTACCCAGGGTTGCTCACTTCGAGACAAATGCATGCAAACCTAAGGTATGCAAATAGACATGTTTTGTTTAAACTGCCAATCCTAAAGCTTTTTCTGCAGGAGAAAAAAAAAAAACCCCTGTGGATTTCCGGAGAGGTGGCCCATGGCTGGTCGCGAGGTTTCTGACTTTCCCTCTCCGGCCGGCTGGGGTAGGGAATTTGCATAATGTAAATAGAGTCCTCGGTGGAGCCCCTCGACCAGGCCGGCAGGAGCCTCCTAGTGTGCTTCCGGAGGTTGTCGGCAGAGGACGCTGGCGGCTCCGAGGCCGCTCCTTTCGGCAGCTGGGCGGGCAGAGGGGAGGAGCGACGGGATCTCGCGAGATTATCGCGCGGTAGGGGCTCAGTATCCAGCATGGCGGACTCGGGGTTGCTGCTAAAGCGGGGTTCCTGCCGTTCCACTTGGCTGCGGGCCCGCAAGGCCCGGCCGCAGCTCATCCTCAGCCGCCGGCCCCGCCGCCGGCTCGGGACCCTCCGCTGGTGCGGTCGGCGGCGCCTACGGCGGCGATTACTGCAAGCCCAGGCGGCCGGCGTGGACTGGAGGGAGGGAGCCCGTCAGGTGTCGCGCGCGGCGGCGGCCGGGAGACCCAAGACCGCGACCCCCAGCCCGATCCCTAGCCCGACCCCGGCCTCCGAACCCGAATCCGAATTCGAATCCGCCTCGAGTTGCCGCCGGCCTCTCCTTATCCCGCCGGTGCGGCCAGTGGGCCCGGGCCGTGCGTTACTGCTGCTGCCGGTTGAGCAGGTAGGTGGGGGACGCCGGCGGGAGTCCCCGAAGGCAGGGCGGCTGGAGAGGCAGCCCCAGGAGAGCTGCAGGGTAGGAGAGGACCGTAGTCCCCCGGGCCTCTTCTCTGGCTGTCAGTCGGATTCAAGTCCATCTTCTTGGTGCTGGCAACTAGGCTCTCCTAAGCAGCAGAGTAACAGGTACCCTGCTAAGGGGTCCCTAGGCCTTAAGAGCTAAAGGGACTTTATTTATTTATTTATTATTTTATTTTATTTTATTTTATTTTATTTTATTTTATTTTGAGACAGTCTCACTCTGTTCCCCAGATTGGAGTGCAGTGGCGCGATCTCGGCTCACTGCAGCCTCCGCCCCCCGTCTCAAGTGCTTCTCGTGCCTCAGCCTCCTGAGTAGCTAGGACTACAGGAGTTCGCCACCTCGCCCGGCTAATTTTTGTATTTTTATTTGTATTTTCTTTGAGACGGAGTTTCACTCTTGTCGCCCAGGCTGGAGTGTAGTGGCGTAGTCTCAGCTCACTGCAACCTCTGCCTCCAGAGTTCAAGTGATTGTCCCGCCTCAGCCTCCCAAGTAGCTGGAATTACAGGTGCTCGCCACCACGCCCAGCTAATTTTTGGATTTTTTTTTTTTTTTTTTTTTGATACGGAGTCTCGCTCTGTCGCCCTGGCTGGAGTGCAGTGGCCGGATCTCAGCTCACTGCAAGCTCCGTCTCCCGGGTTTATGCCATTCTCCTGCCTCAGCCTCCTGAGTAGCTGGGACTACAGGCACCTGCCACCTCGACCGGCTAGTTTTTTGTATTTTTTAGTAGAGACGGGGTTTCACCGTGTTCGCCAGGATGGTCTCGATCTCCTGACCTCGTGATCCGCCCGTCTCGGCCTCCCAAAGTGCTGGGATTACAGGCTTGAGCCACCGCGCCCGGCCAATTTTCGTATTTTTAATAGAGACGGGGTTTCACCCTGTTGGTCAGGCTCATCTCGAACTCCTGACCTCAGGTGATCCACCTCCTAAAGTGTTGGGATTACAGGCGTGAGCCACTGCCCCCGGTCTAATTTTTGTATTTTTAGTAGAGATGAGGTTTCTCCATGTTGGCCAGGCTGACCTCAAGTGACCCACCAGCCTCGGCCTCCAAAGTGCTGGGCTTACAGGTGGGAACCGCGTTGCCCGGCCCTGAAAGGGACTTTTTTTTTTTTTTTTTTTTTGAGACGTAGTCTTGCTTTGATGCCAGACTGGAATGCAGTGGCGCGATCTCTGGGCTCACTGCAACCTCCACATCCCGGGTTGAAGCAATTCCCCTGGCTCAGTCTCCTGAGTAGCTGGGACTGCAGGCGCATGCCACCTCACCCGGCTATATTTTTGTATTTTTAGTAGAGATGGGGTTTCACCATGTTAGCCAGGATAGTCTCGATCTCCTGACCTTGTGATCCACCGGCCTCAGCTTCCCAAAGTGCTGAGATTACAGGTGTGAACCACTGCACCTGGAACCCTGAAAGGGATCTTAATAGTTAAAAAAAAAAGGATTGCAGTTATTGAGAGCTCAGAAATTCCGGGATTTAAGGGTTCTAAGTGTTTTAGGCTTTGAACCCATTTAAACATCCAGCTCTCTTATGGAGTAGTTGCCCCTATCTCTAAGTATGTTTACAGATTAAGAGACTGAGGTTGGGTAACTTACACAGTAGAGGGAGAGCTAGGAGTCAAATTCAGGCAGCCTGATTCTTAACATGGACGCCATTTCTGGGAGATTCCCTGTCTAATGCTGGAGGGAAGACAGAACCCAGGAAGTTCTGGAAGAGACTTGGCAAGCTGTGGGTCTTTAAAAGGACAGAGTGGTAGAGTCTGTCTGAACCAGGAGCAGAGAGCCGAGTTCACAGTCACCTGTAGTCTCTCTGTAGCTGCCATGGGATATGATCTAAGGTTAAAAACATAAAGTATGGGCCGGGCACGGTGGCTCACACCTGTAATCGCAGCACTTTGGGAGGCTGAAGCTGGCAGATCACCTGAGGTCAGAAGTTTGGGACCAGCCTGACCAACATGGTGAAACCTCATCTCTACTAAAAGTACAAAAATTAGCTGAGTGTGATGGCACACTCCTGTAATCCTAGCTACTCTAGAAAGAAAGGAAGAAAGGAAGGGCCGGGCGCGGTGGCTCACGCTTGTAATGCCAGCACTTTGGGAGGCCGAGGCAGACCAGGCTGGTCTCAAAATCCTGACCTCAGGTGATCCGTCCACCTAGGCCTCTCAAAGTGCTGAGATTACAGGCATGAGCCACTGTGCCCAGCTCTCTCTTTTCCTTTTCCTTTCTTTCCTTCCTTTTCCCCTCTCTCCCTCCCCCTCCTTCCTTTCTTTTCCCCTCCCTCCCTCTCTCCTTCCTCTCACTCTGCCACCCAGGCTGGAGTGCAGTGGTGCAATCTCGGCTCACTGCAAGCTCCACCTCCTGGGTTCATGCCATTCTTCTGCCTCAGCCTCCCTAGTAGCTGGGACTACAGGCGCCCGCCACCACACCTGGCCAATTGTTTTGTATTTTTTTTAATAGCGATGGAGTTTCACCGTGTTAGCCAGGATGGTCTCGATCTCCTGACATTGTGATCCGCTCGCCTCGGCCTCCCAAATGCTGGGATTACAGACGTGAGCCACTATGCCCGGCCAATATTTGATTTTCTGTACCTGAATGAGTTTGCTAAGGATAACGGCTTCTAGCTCCATCCATGTCCCTGCAAAGGATGTGATCTCATTCCTTTTTATGATTGCAGCCTTTTAAAATTTTTTATTTTATTTAATTTTTATTTATTTATTTATTTATTTTTGAGACAGTATCACTGTCACCCAGGCTGCAGTGTACCGGCATAATCTTAGCTCACTGCAACCTTTGCCTCTGGGTTCAAGTGATTCTCATGCCTCACCCTTTGGAGTAGCTGGGATTACAGGCACATGCCCAGCTAATTTTTGTAGTTTTAGTAGAGATGGTGGCAGTGGGAGTGGGGTGCTGGGGGATTTGCCATGTTGTCCAGGCTGGTCTCAAACTCCTGGCCTCAAGTGATCCCCCCACTTCCTTCTCCCAGAGTTCCAGGGTTACTGGCGTGAGCCACCGTGCCTGGCCCAATATTTATTACTGATGGAGTGGAGTGGTGTAATTATGGCTTACTGCAGCCTCTACCTCCGAGACTCAAGCAGTCCACCCATCTCAGCCTCCCAACTAACTAGGACCACAGATGCATGCCACTGCACCCTGCTAATTTTTAAATGTTTTGTAAACAGAGGTCTCTGTTGCCCAGGCTGATCTTGAGCTCCTGGGCTCAAGTGATCCTCCTGCCTCAGCTTCATGAGTGTGAGCCACTGTGCCTGGCCTTACCTGCCTTTTAATGTGTGAATAGCAAGTTAAGATTTTAGAATCTGGCCAGGTGCAGTGGCTCATGCCTGTAATCCCAGCACTTTGGGAGGCCGAGGCTGGTGGATCACCTGAGGTCGGGAGTTCGAGACCAGCCTGACCAACATGGAGAAACCCCATCTCTACTAAAAATACAAAATTAGCCGAGCATGGTGGCACATGCATGTAATCCCAGCTACTCGCAGGAGAATTACTTGAACCTGGGAGGCGGAAGTTGCAGTGAGCCGAGATAGCGCCGTTGCACTCCAGCCTGGGCAACAGACTAAGACTCCTTTTCAAAATAAATAAATAAATAAATAAAAATAAAAATGCAAAAAATTAGCCGGGCATGGTGGTGGGAGGCTGAGACAGGAGAATGGTGTGAACCTGGGAGGCGGAGCTTATAGTAAGCCAAGATCGGGCCACTGCCCTGCAGCCTGGGTGACAGAGCGAGACTCTTTGTCTCAAAAAAATTTTTTTAGATGCTTACTATGGTCTAGACAGTGTGCCAAGGACTTTGCTATATGTATATAAACCCTTACAAGGGTCCTGAAAGTGAAAGTACTATTGTTATCACCATTTTACTGACAAGAAAAATTGTTCAAGGCCACAAAATTATTATGTGGCAAACCTGGATTGACTTCTCCCCCCAGGTGTGTTCTTAGTATGCAGTATGGCCCCCTGAAAAAGGCTCTCAACCACAATTCCTACTCCTAAAGTTTATAGTTTAGCCGAGGAGATGGCAGTCCTAAAGGGTGTGGAACGTAATTAAGTTAGTGCTTCTAAGGTGGTTTCTTTTTCCCTTTACAGATGACAGGCGTTGGTCGATGCAGAATTTTTCTCTTCAGTGTTCCATTGTGTTGCTAGAACATCTGAAAACTGCGTCTGTAAACTTCATAACCAGCTATCCAGGTTCATCCTACATTTTTGTGCAAGAGGTAGAACCCGTTTTTATTCAGAGATTTGCTAATTACTTGCACCAAAACAGTGATATTAAATGACTATGTAGGATGTTGTCTTGGAAGAGCAGTTTGTCCACATAGTGCTCTCGGTTCTACCGAATGTAATACGTGTATACAGAAAATAGTATAGAAAGGTATATTGTGAAAAATGTTCATCCTCCCCTCCTCAGTTTCATTCCTCAGCCAGCATTTTATATCGTAGTTGGTTATGTGCTTTTTGGGTTTTTATTAACACCATGCTCCAGCCCTGCTTTTTTGGTTTTGTTTGTTTGTTTGTTTGTTTGTTTGTTTGTTTGTTTTTGAGACTGAGTCTCTGTCACTCAGGCTGGATTGTAGTGGTGTAACCTCAACCTCACTGCAACCCCCGCTTCCCAGGGTCAAGCGATTCTCCTACCTCAGCCTCTTAAGTAGCTGGGATTACAGGCGCCTGCCACCATGCCCGGCTAATTTTTTTTTCTTGTTTTTTGTTTTTTGTTTTGAGATGGAGTCGTCTCACTCTGTCACCAGGCCGGAGTACAGTGGTGCAATGTCGGCTCACTGCAACCTCCGCCTCCTGGGTTCAAGTGATTTTCCTGCCTCAGCCTCCCGAGTAGCTGGGACCACAGGTGCATGCCACCATGCCCGGCTAATTTTTGTGTTTTTTAGTACAGACAGGGTTTCACCATGTTGGTCAGTCTGGTCTCAAATTCCTGACCTCAGGTGATCCACCCACCTCTGCTTTGACTCCCAAAGTGCTGGGATTATAGGTGTGAGCCACCACGCCTGGCCTTTTTTGGGAATTTTAATGGTTGTCTTTATATCTCTGTTTATTAATTTGAGATAATAAAAATTTTCTCTAAACTATGAATGAGTAGTTTAAATGTACTTATATTTTCTTTTACCTCTTTCCTTACCTCTAATTTTTAACAAGTCGTAATTTTTATTACTCAAAAAGGCTTCATTTTTTATTTAGCTTTCTGACTCTGTGTGTGTGCCTTCAACACTTTTACAATGATGTTCTCCTCCTCGAGAAGGAAAGCACGCTTGATCCTGTCTTGAACACATTTAGCACACATGGAACCACCGTAGGCTCTGCTGACATGTTTTTTGTTTTGGACAATCTCCTAAGAATTTTAGATCTTGGCCGGGTGCGGTGACTCATGCCTGTAATCCCAGCACTTTGGGAGGCCGAAGTGGGCAGATCACTTCAGGTCAGGAGTTGAAGACCAGCCTGGCCAACATGGTGAAACCCCATCTCTAGTAAAAATACAAAAAATTAGCTGGGCGTGGGGCACGCGCCTGTAATCTCAGCTACTCCAGGGGCTGAGGCAGGAGAATCGCTGGAACCTGGGAGACGGAGGTTGCAATGAGCGGAGATTGCACCACTGCACTCCAGCCTGGGAGACAGAGTGAGAATCCGTCTCAAAAAAAAAGAACTTTAGGTCTCATGGCGTGGACCCCTCGAAGCCTGCCTGGGCCCACGCCACTGCAGATTTTGGTGTTTTCCCAACCTTCTTGTTACAGAGACAAACAGTTTTATTACCAGGGGTTCAAGAGGCTCTTAACAAAACGAGGCTGTGTTGTAGGAAGCCTAGCACGGTGTATTGTAGGAACCCTATCACGGTGTATTGTAGGAAGCCTAGCACGGTGTATTGTAGGAATCCTAGCACCGTGTATTGTAGGAATCCTAGCACGGTGTATTGTAGGAAGCCTAGCACGGTGTATTGTAGGAAGCTAGCATGGTGTATTGTAGGAAGCCTATCACAGTGTATTGTAGGAAGCCTATGACAGTATATTGTAGGAACCCTATCATGGTGTATTGTAGGAAGCCTAGCACGGTGTATTGTTGGAAGCCTATCACGGTGTATTGTAGGAACCCTATCACGGTGTATTGTAGAAACCCTATCACGGTGTATTGTAGGAAGCCTATCACGGTGTATTGTAGGAAGCCTATCACGGTGTATTGTAGGGAAAGCCTATGATGCTGTGTCAAATGCTGGACCATTCTCACTTCCTGTAGACAATGTCCCTAGAAGAGAGCTTTTATTTGTGTTTTTGAGATAAAGTCTCTGTTGCCCAGGCTGGAGTGCAGTGGCAAGATCTCAGCTCACTGCAGCCTCAACCTTTCCAGGCTCAGGTGATCCTCCCACCCGAGCCTCGCAGTAGCTGGGATTACAGGTACATGCCATGACTTCCGGCTAATTTTTGTAGTTTTTGTAGTTTTTGTAGAGACAGGATTTTGCCTTGTTGCCCAGGCTGGTCATGAGCTCTTGGCCCCAAGCAATCCACCTGCCTCCAAAAGTGCTGAGATTACAGGTGTGAGCCACCGTGTCCGGCCTCATCTCTAAATTTTTGCTGGCCATATTATTCATTTCCTTAAGTTCTTTTTTTTTTCGTTTCCTTAAGTTCTATTACTATAATTGTCTCCCATGGGCCAGTAGGTGGAGTCTAATCTGCAGGATTGGCAGACAGACTGGATATGTGAGGGGTGAGGAAGAATCAAGGAATCAGCAGGTTTTTGGCTTAACCACTGAGGTGCATGTAGTTGCCATTAACTGGGATGGGGTCACTGCAGGAGGAGTGGGTTTCGATTTGTTAACCTTGAGATGCCTGGTAGATATCCAGCTGGACATGTCAAGTGGGCAGTTGAATGTATGAGTCTGGAGTTCAGGGAAGAGTTTGGAGGTGGAAATATGGGAGCCTTCAGCAGAGAGGATACCCAGGCCACCAGATGCAATAATAATGCCTATGGAGTTGAATAGATAGAAACAAGACGGTTTCAGCTCTGAGCCCTAGGGCACTCCAAGAAGAGGTCCAGGCAAAGATGAGGGAGCAGCAGATAGTCATTGGTTTTAGTGGAAAACCCAGTGTGTGATGTCCTGTGGGTCAGGAAGTCTTTAAATGAGACTTAACTGAACAGCAGTGATAAATGCTGCTAGTGGTCAGGTGAGACCTGAGAAAGCGCTGGCTGTAGAGGCCGGGAAGTAGCCTGATTGGAATGGGGTCAAGAGCCTGGGCGGAGAGGGACTGACGGGTTTAGTAGTAAAGTATTTTGCTTTGGTAGAAGTTAGCTGTAAAGGGAAGGAAAGAAATGAAGCAGTAGTTGGAGGGGTAAGTATGATCAGGAGAGTTTTGTAATTTTGTTAAGATGGATGAAAAAAACGTGCTGGAACATGGCAGATGGGAATGATCCAGAGGAGAGGGGAGGTAACCATGCAGCAGAGAGAGGGGAGGCTGCCAGAACTATGTCTGTAAGTTGGCCACTAGGGATGGTTCCGGTTCTGGCATCATGTGGCCTTAGGAGCACAGCCAGGTCATTCATAGTGGCTGGAGGAAGTCCCTAGGAGAGGGCCAGAGGAAGTAGAAGTTGTCCTTTGATTATTTCCTGCTGCACTGGGAAATGGAACCAAGGTCATTACCGTGTGGGAAGCAGATAGATACGAGGTGGGTGTGGGGAATTTGAAGTGAAAGGAGAGAGGAAATGAGAGCCGGACAGTGAACGGGCTCTTGTGGTTGCCTGTTAGTCCACTGCAGAGTCCAGTAGCTGGACCAGGACTGCAGAGGAGGAGATGGAATTGCCTATTCTCAAGCCTTTCCTACTGAAAGTGAATGTTCCAGATGCCATTGGGCAGCAACATTCTTTTTACATTTATTTTCAGCTTTATCTGTTTTTTTCTGGGACTTCACCACCACTCTTCATATTTCTTATGCTCTTTCTTGGATGCTTTTCTCCCTATCCCACCCTCTGGATGTGTCAGTAGATTCTGGAGTTGTTTTTTCACTTAAGGAAGATAGTAAACTTGATTATCTAATTTTATTAGATGTTCTTGTTTTGCCCTCAGTGATTGATAATTACACATAGTGTAGAATGGTTGGTTCAGAAGACTTTTTTCTCAAATTGTTGAAGGCCTTGTTCTATTGTTTTCTAGGATCCAGCATTACCAATATGAAGCCTCACACTAGGCTGCTTCTCTTTTTTATTTTATTTTATTTTTTATTTTTTTATTTTTTATTTATTTATTTATTTTTTTGAGACGGAGTCTTGCTTGTTGCCCAGGCTGGAGTGCAGTGGCCGGATCTCAGCTCACTGCAAGCTCCCGGGTTCACGCCATTCTCCTGCCTCAGCCCCCCGAGTAGCTGGGATTACAGGCGCCCGCCACCTCGCCCAGCTAGTTTTTTTTTTTGTATTTTTTAGTAGAGACGGGGTTTCACCGTGTTAGCCAGGATGGTCTCGATCTCCTGACCTCGTGATCCACCCGTCTCGGCCTCCCAAAGTGCTGGGATTACAGGCTTGAGCCACCGTATTTTTTATTTTTTTTGAGACACAGACACAGTCTCGCTCTATCGCCCAGGCTGGAGTGCAGTGCCACAATCTTGACCCACTGCAACCTCCACCTCCTGAGTTCAGACAATTCTTGTGCTTCAGCCTCCCAAGTAGCTGGGATTACAGGCATGCACCACTGCACCCAGCCTGCTTCACATTTCTTTATGGATGTCTTTTTTTTTTTTTTTTCTGAGACGGAGTTTCGCTCTTGTTGCCCAGGCTGGAGTGCAATGGTGCGATCTCAGCTCACTGCAACCTCCGCCTCCCAGGTTCAAGCAATTCTCCTGCCTCAGCCTCCCGGGTAGCTGGGATTACAGGAATGTGCCACCATGTCAGGCTAATGTTATATTTTTAGTAGAGACAGGGTTTCTCCATGTTGAGGCTGGTCTCGAACTCCTGACCTCAGGTGATCTGCCCGTGTCGGCCTCCCAAAGTGGTGGGATTACAGGCGTGAGCCACCGCGCCCGGCCTATGATGTCTTTATTCTGTGTTGATGAATTGCAAGAGGATGTGCTCATGGAGGGGGTCCCTTCCTTCATCCTCTTCTGTGGTGAGCTGGTTCCAGCTGAGCCTTACCTGCCTCAGCAAGGGTCTGCTCTTCCTTTCCTTGGGCTGCTTTTCCAGTCCTGGACTTCACAGACCTGTGTTCTCCCTCCTTTCAACTCTGTTTGCATACGTTCTGTGTGTTTCTGCTTTATGTTTTCAGAGGTTGCCTTGACTTAACTCTACATCACTCACCTGGTCTAGAGCCAGGGCCCCTTGCTGAATGCTTCCTGTGCAGTCATGTCTTACCAGGCATTCTCTTTTTCTCCGGAGTCTGCTGTGGAGGCAGTGGCAGCTCGGGAGAAAGCAGAAACGGAAAACAGACGTGGATAACTTCAGGAAGAGAGTTGGCAACGCTTGTTGATGGGCTGGATTTTGGGGCAGGAGACAAAGGGAGGAAACAATTTATCTTCTCTGGCTCATAACTGGGTGAGGCTTGTTTAATTTAGTACTGAAGAAAAAACTATGCATTTTTTCACCTTAAAGTTTAAATTGTTGATTTCAGAGTCCAACTCCCCAGATTAAACCTGAATATTTAGCCTTGAGGTCTGTTGGCATCCGAAAAGAGAAAAAAAGGAAAGGCCTTCAGTTAACCGAGAGTACCCTTTCAGCCCTGGAAGAGTTAGTCAGTGTTTCCTGTGGTGAGTAATACACACTGATCACCCTGAGTGTCTGTCCACCAAACCCCCAGATGGTTATTAGTCATAATTCAAGTCCAAGGAAGATGCTAATTCTAGCGATCAATGTTTGTTTCCCCTTCAGAAGAAGTAGATGGCTGCCCTGTCATTCTGGTTTGTGGATCCCAGGATGTTGGAAAGTCAACATTTAATAGATACCTGATTAACCAGTTGTTAAATAGGTAAGAGTGCTTTTCTTATGGCTTTGACACATTGCTAGGTTTTTGGCATTAAGTGGGATTTTTGATTTGGAGGGAGTGCTTCTTGGCTTCTAGCTAGAGATTACATACAGTTCTAAAGCTGCCCAGCTAAAGCATCTGGTCCTCACTGCCCTCTGCTTTGCAGCGTATGACAATGCTCTAGCGTGGGCTGACTACCTTGCCTGCAGGTGAACTTCCAAGAGGAGACACTTGGTCTCAGAGTCTGTATTCATAAGTTCTGGTATATGTGTGTGGTTTGGTTTGTTTTTTTTTTCAGACAGGGTCTCCCTCAGGCTGGAGTGCAATGGCACAATCATACCTCATAGTCTTGAACTCCTGGGCTCAAGCGCGATCCTCCCACCTCAGCCTCCTAAGCAGCTGGGATTCAGCCATGGGCCACCATGCCTGGCTAATTTTCTTATTTTAATTTTTTTTGTAGGGACGAGGTCTTGCTGTGTTGCCCAGTCTGGTCTTGAACTCCTGGGAATTTTCTTTTTTTTTTTTTTGAGATGGAGTCTCGCTCTGTCGCCCAGGCTGGAGTGCAGTAGCGCAATCTCGGCTCACTGCAAGCCCCGCCTCCCGGGTTCACACCATTCTCCTGCCTCAACCTCCCGAGTAGCTGGGACTACAGGCGCCCGCCACCTCGCCCAGCTAGTTTTTTTTTTTGTATTTTTTAGTAGAGACGGGGTTTCACCGTGTTAGCCAGGATGGTCTCGATCTCCTGACTCAAGTCCAAGGAAGATGCTAATTCTAGCGATCAATGTTTGTTTCCCCTTCAGAAGAAGTAGATGGCTGCCCTGTCATTCTGGTTTGTGGATCCCAGGATGTTGGAAAGTCAACATTTAATAGATACCTGATTAACCAGTTGTTAAATAGGTAAGAGTGCTTTTCTTATGGCTTTGACACATTGCTAGGTTTTTGGCATTAAGTGGGATTTTTGATTTGGAGGGAGTGCTTCTTGGCTTCTAGCTAGAGATTACATACAGTTCTAAAGCTGCCCAGCTAAAGCATCTGGTCCTCACTGCCCTCTGCTTTGCAGCGTATGACAATGCTCTAGCGTGGGCTGACTACCTTGCCTGCAGGTGAACTTCCAAGAGGAGACACTTGGTCTCAGAGTCTGTATTCATAAGTTCTGGTATATGTGTGTGGTTTGGTTTGTTTTTTTTTTCAGACAGGGTCTCCCTCAGGCTGGAGTGCAATGGCACAATCATACCTCATAGTCTTGAACTCCTGGGCTCAAGCGCGATCCTCCCACCTCAGCCTCCTAAGCAGCTGGGATTCAGCCATGGGCCACCATGCCTGGCTAATTTTCTTATTTTAATTTTTTTTGTAGGGACGAGGTCTTGCTGTGTTGCCCAGTCTGGTCTTGAACTCCTGGGAATTTTCTTTTTTTTTTTTTTGAGATGGAGTCTCGCTCTGTCGCCCAGGCTGGAGTGCAGTAGCGCAATCTCGGCTCACTGCAAGCCCCGCCTCCCGGGTTCACACCATTCTCCTGCCTCAACCTCCCGAGTAGCTGGGACTACAGGCGCCCACCACCACGCCTGGCTAATTTTTTGTATTTTTAGTAGCGATGGGGTTTCCGCGTGTTAGCCAGGATAATCTTGATCTCCTGACCTCTCCTGACCTTTTTTTTTGACTCTATCTCAAAAAAAAAAAAAAAAAAAAAAAGGCTGGGCACTGTGGCTTCTACCTGTAATCCCAGCACTTTGGGAAGCTGAGGTAGGAGGATTGCTTGAGCCCAGGAGTTTGGGACCAGCCTGGGCAACGTAATGAGACCCTGTCTCTACAAAAACTTTAGAAATTAGTCGGGCGTGGTGGCATGTGCCTGTGGTCCCAGCTACTTAGGAGGCTAAGGAGGAGGGAGTATTGCTTGAGCCCAGGAGGTCGAGGCTGCAGTGAGTTCTGATCCCTGTACTCCAGCCTGGGTGACTCAGTGACACCCTGTCTCAAGAAAAAATAAACTTACGTGAAAGATGGCCAGGTGTGGTGGCTCATGCCTTTAATCCCAGCACTTAAGGAGGCCGAGGCGGGTGGATCACTTGAGGTCAGGAATTCAAGACCAGCCTGGCCAACATGGTGAAACCCCGTCTCTACTAAAAATACAAAAATTAGCCGGGCATGGTGCCACATGCCTGTAATCCCAGCTACTTGGGAGGGTGAGGCAGGAGAATTGCTCGAGCCTGGGAAACGGAGGTTGTAGCGAGCCGAGATCGCGCCACTGCACTCCAACCTGGGCGACAGAGTGAGACTCCGTCTGGAAAAAAAAAAATTCTCTGAAAGAGCAAGTTGTGCCCATGTTATAAATGGACATTGTGACCACGTCTGCACCGCATTTCTCTGGACTCGTTTTTAAACAGTGATTGTCATCTTGGGGCTTCACTTTAAAGTGCTGTGTGGGGTGGATTATGCCTGTGTGTCACGTGAAATCTTTACTGTCTGATTATCCCTTCTACCGAGTAAAGCTAGTTAGGATTTTCTTTCTTTTTTCTTTTTAAAAATTTGCAGTCTTCCCTGCGTTGACTATCTGGAATGTGATCTGGGACAGACAGAATTTACCCCTCCTGGTTGCATTTCTTTACTTAACATTACAGAACCAGTTCTGGGTATGTATTATGTATTTCTCGAATGTCTTGGTTTTATGAAATTCATATGTAATGATGCTTACCAAAACTCAAAAATAGAAGAGTATAAAATATTAAAAGTGAACACGCATCTACCAAACTCAGGGTCTTTCCATAACTTGTTCCACTAACCTCCAAAAACTATGGGGTTTTCTCATTTTAGGAAATGGATCTGCTACTCATTTTGTTCTATGAAATTAATTGGGTGTGGTGGCAAAAATTATTTTGTTTTATGTAAATTAGAAACATATGTTTCCCTAATTTCTTTTTTTTTTTGAGACAGAGTCTCACTTTGTTGCCCAGGCTGGAGTGCAGTGGCCCGATCTTGGCTCACTGCAAGCTCCGCCTCCCAGGTTCATGCCATTCTCCTGCCTCAGCCTCCCGGGTAGCTGGGACTACAGGCGCCCACCACCACGTCCAGCTAATTTTTTGTATTTTTAGTAGAGATGGGGTTTCACCGTGTTAGCCAGGATGGTCTCGATCTCACTGCGTGATCCACCACGCCCAGCCTTTTTTTTTTTCTTTTTGAGACGGAGTCTCGCTGTGTCGCCCAGGCTGGAGTGCTGTGGCACAATCTCGGCTCACTACAAGCTCCGCCTCCTGGGTTCATGCCATTCTCCTGCCTCAGCCTCCTGAGTAGTTGGGACTACAGGCACCCGCCACCATGCCTGGCTAATTTTTTGTATTTTTTTAGTAGAAACAGAGTTTCACCATATTAGCCAGGATGGTCTCGATCTCCTGACCTTGTGATCCGCCGGCGCCGACCTCCTAAAGTGCTGGGATTACAGTCATGAACCACCACGCCCGGCCCCTAATGTCCTTTATCTGGTTCAGAACCTAACCCACAGTTCTCCATCTCTTTTTGAAAAAAATAATATAGAAGATTTCATGAATTTGCATGTTATCCTTGTACATGGCCCATTGCCAGTCTTCTCTGTATCATTCCAGTTTTTTAGGGTATGTGCTGCTGAAGTAAGTACCACATTGCTTTCTTTTTTTTTTTCTTTGAGATGGAGTCTTGCTCTGTCACCCAGGCCGACTAGAGTGCATGGTGTGATCTGTGCTCACTGTAACCTCCACCTCCTGAGTTGGAACTGTTTTCCTGCCTCAGCCTCCTGAGTAACTGTGACTACAGGTGCACGCCACCATGCCCAGCTAATTTTTATATTTTTAGTAAAGACAGGGTTTCACCTTGTTGGCCAGTCTGGTCTGGAACTCCTGACCTCAGGTCGTCCACTCACCTCCGACTCCTAAGTGCTGGGATTATAGGCATGAGCCACTGTGCCTGGCCACAACTTTTTTGTTGTGTTTGCAATGGGGTGAGACCCTGTTTCTACAAAAAATTTAAAAATTAGGTGTGGTTTTTTTGTCATCCCAAAATGAAAACTGTACTCATTAAAGAATAACTCTCAGCCGGGCGTGGTGGCTCACGCCTGTAATCTCAGCACTTTGGGAGGCCAAGGCCGGTGGATCACAAGGTCAGGAGATCAAGACCATCCTGGTTAACTCGGTGAAACCCCATCTCTCTACTAAAAATACAAAAAATTAGCCGGGTGTGGTGGCGGGCGTCTGTAGTCCCATCTACTCGGGAGGCTGAGGCAGGAGAATGGCGTGAACCCGGGAGGCGGAGCTTGCAATGAGCCGAGATCGCGCCACTGCACTCCAGCCTGGGCGACAGAGCGAGACTCTGTCTCAAAAAAAAAAAAAAGAATAAATCCCTCTTGTCCTCTTTCCTAGCCCCTAGAGACTTCACCTCTGTTCTACTTTTTGTCCCTACGAATTTGGCTATTCTCATGTAAGTGGAGTCATCCAATACTTACCCTTTGTCTGGCTTATTTCACTCAGCATAGTATTGTCAGAATCCATCCATGTTGTAGCATGTATCAAAATTTAATTGCTGGCCAGGTACCATGGCTCACACCTGTAATCCCAGCACTTTGGGAGGCCAAGGTGGGCAGATTGCTTGAGCCTGGGAGTTTGAGACCAGGGTAGCATGGTGAAACCCAGTCTCTATAAAACATTATAAAAATGTATAAAAATTTTTATAATTATAAAAAATTATAAAAATTAGCTGGGCTTGGTGGTCCATGCCTGTAGTCCCAGATACTTGGGAGTCTGAAGCAGGAGGATCACTTGAACCTGGGAGGTGGAGGCTGCAGTGAGCTGAAATTGCACCATTACACGCCAGCCTGGGCGACAGAGTGAGATTCTGTCTCAAAAAAAAAATTAATTCCTTTTCATGGCTGGATGTTATTCGGTTGTATGTTTATATCACATTTAGTTTATCCATTCAGCTGTTGATGGACACTTGGGTTCTTTCCACATTTTGGCTCTCGTGAATAATCCTGCTATGAACACGGGTATTCAAATATCTCCTCCAGATCCTGCTTTCAGTTCTTTCAGGTATATACCAAGGAGTGGAATTGCTGGGTCTTATGGTAGTTCTGTGTTTAACATTTTGAGAACTGCCAAACCTTTTTTCACAGTAGTTGCATTTTACATTCCCACCAGCAATGCACAAGACTTCTGATTTCTCCGTATCCTCACCAATGCTTATTTTGATTATAGCTGTCCGAGTTTGTGTGAAGTAATGTCTCATTTTGGTTTTCATTTACATTCCCTTAAATGACTAATGATGTTGAGCATTTGCTTATTGGCCATTTGTATATCTTTGGAGAAATGTCTATTCCAGTCCTTGAATATTGCTTGCGTGGTTTGTTTTTTGTTTTTGTTTTTGTTTGAGACGGAGTCTTGCTCTTTGCTCTGTCGCCCAGGCTGGAGTGCAGTGGCGTGCTCTCGGCTTACTACAAGCTCTGCCTCGCGGGTTCATGCCATTCTCCTGCATCAGCCTCCCGGGTAGCTGTGACTACAGGCGCCCGCCACCACGTCCAGCTAATTTTTTGTATTTTTAGTAGAGATAGGGTTTCACCGTATTAGCCAGGATGGTCTTGATCTCCTGACTGCGTGATCCACCCGCCTCGGCCTCCCAAAGTGCTGGGATTACAGGCGTGAGCCACTGCGCCTGGCCAATGCACAGTTCTTAATTTTGATGAAGTTCAGTGTATCTATTTTTTCACTTGTTGCCTATGCTTTTAGTGTTATATCCTTGAAATCATTACTAAATCTAAAATGTCATCATGATTTTCTCTCATGTTTTCTTGTAAGAGCTTTATAGTTTTTAACTCTTTTTAATTTTTTTTATTTTTAAATTTTTCAGCCTGAATATGTTTGTTCCGTTTTTGCTCTTAAGTTTAGGTTTCTGATCCATTTTGAATTAACATTTTCATATGCTGTAAGGAATTGGTCCAGCTTCTTTCTTTTGAATATAGATATTGAGATTTTCCACCACCATTTGTTGAAAAGACTATCTTGAAGATGGTTTGATCTTATATGTATGGGCTTATTTCCTGATTCCATTTCTGTTTCATTGGTCTACATGTCTGTCCTTGACCCAGTATCATACTGTTTTAATTACTATAGCTTTTCGGTAAGTTTTGAAGTCGGTACAAGTCCCTTCCCCATTTTTCAGTTGGGTTATTTGCTTTCTTGCTGTTGAGTTTCTTGTGTTCCTTACATATTTTGGATATTAACCCCTTATCAGATGTATGATTTACAAATGTTTTCTCCCATTCTGAGGGTTGTCTCTTTGTAAATTGTTTCCTTTGTTATGCAGAAGCTTTTTAGTTTGATGCCATCTCATTTGTCTATTGTTACCTTTGTTTTCAGGGTCATATCTAGAAAATTGTTACCTAGACCAGTGTCATGAAGCGTTTCCTTTAGTAGGTTTACAGTTTCAGGTCTTTTTTTTTTTTTTTTTGAGACGGAGTCTCACTTGTCGCCCAGGCTGGAGTGCAGTGGCGCTATCTTAGCTCACTGTAAGCTCCGCCTCCCGGGTTCACACCATTCTCCTGCCTCGACCCCCGAGTAGGTGGGACCACATCTGCCCGCCACCACGCCTGGCTAATTTTTTGTATTTTTATAGAAACGGGGTTTCACCGTGTTAGCCAGGATTGTCTTGATCTCCTGACCTTGTGATCTGCCCGCCTCGGCCTCCCAAAGTGCTGGGATTACAGGCGTGAGCCACCGCGCCCGGCCAGTTTCAGGTCTTAATACTTAAGTCTTTATTCCATTTTGAGTTGATTTTTGTATATGATGTTTGATAAAGATATCTAGTAGTATCCTTCTTTTCCCTGTGAATAACCAGATTTCCTGGTCTTATTTATTGAAGACTATCCTTCCCCCTTGTTTTGTTATTAGCATCTTTGTCAGAAATAAATTGGCTGTAAATGCAGTGTTTATTTCCAGACTCTCTATGCTGTTCCATTGAGTGATATGTCTCTTTTTATGCCATTACCGTGCTTGGTTTCTGAGAGAGACAGGGTCTCACTGTCACCCAGGCTGGAGTGCGTTAGCACAGTCATAGCTCACTGCAGCCTCAAATTCCTGGAAACAGGTGATCTGCCTCAGCTTCCGAAAGCACTGAGATTGCGGAGCCTCCACGCCTGATCCTGCCATGCTGTTTTACTTTAAAACACCCGGCTAATTTTTTGCATTTTTAGTAGAGACGGGGTTTCACCGTGTTAGCCAGGATGGTCTCCTGACCTTGTGATCCACCCGCCTTAGCCTCCTGAAGTGCTGGGATTACAGGCATGAGTCACCGCACCCGGCCCACACCTGGCTAATTTTTGAACAATTATTTTTAGAGGCAGTGTCTCACTTTGTAGCCTGGGCTGGACCATGCTCTTTTAATTATAACTGCTTTTGAAGTCAGAGAATGTGATACCTCCAACTTTTTTTTTTTTTTGCTCTTGCTGGCCAGGCTGGAGTGCAGTAGCACGATCTCGGCTCACTGCAACCCATGCCTCCTAGGTTCAAGCGATTCTCCTGCCTCAGCCTCCCAAGTAGCTGGGATTACAGGCATGCGCCACCACGCCTGGATAATTTTTTGTATTTTTAGTAGAGGCGGGGTTTCACCATGTTGGCCAGGCTGGTTTCAAACTCCTGACCTCAGGTGATCCACCTGCCTTAGTCTCCCAAAGTGCTAGAATTATAGGTGTAAGCCACCATGTCCAGCTGACCCTGTCTGTCTTTAAAAAAAAAAGAAAAACAAAAACAAAAAAACTTGGCTCATTATTCTGAATACATTAATTTATGTGTACAGTATTCCTATGTATAAGCAGCCGCTCTGTCCTGTCGGCCACCTCCTAGGACCCGTCTGTCTACTGAGCTCCTCTTACGTCCTAGGTCCTGACTGCACCCTTGGCCTGGGCCCTCCAGCTGTACTGACCCTAGCTACTCCATGGCTCCATCCTTTTTTGAGCACTGTCTTAACTTTCTGGCAAAACAGGAAGTTCTGGGGTCATCTTTCACTTTCTCTTCCATAGCCTTGGAATGAGCTATTTTTCCAGAGAGCCCTGGCTCCTTTTCATAGGGAGAGATTGAACCCAGAGTTTCAGTGCTGTGTACGCGTGTTGCCTCGGGTGTGTCATTGTTTCTAGATCTCAGTGCACAAAGCTAGCATCTGTGACATATTTAAACCCACACATACATATGTGTATGTGTATATATGCATATAGGTCTATACTTGTATAGATACCTTTTCTGTTTCATTAAAACCATGAGGCCAGCACGGTTCTTCATGCCTGTAATCCCAGCCTGTGGGAGGCTGAGGCAGGCGGATCACTTGAGGTCAGGAGTTTGAGACCAACTTGGCCAACATAGCAAAACCTCATCTCTACTAAAAAATCCAAAAATTAGCCAGGTGTGGTGGCGAGTGCCTGTAATCCCAGCTACTTGGGAGGCTGAGGCAGGAGAATCACTTGAACTCGGGAGGTGGAGGTTGCAGTGAGCTGAGATTGCGCCACTGCACTCCAGCCTGGGTGACACAGTGAGACTCCATCTCAAAAAAATAAAAGGAAAAAAAAAGAAAGCAAGCCATGAGTTTCTGACTTAGCCGATTCCGGCTTAACATCCCAGGGATCACTCATTAGCCTTCCTTCCTTTCATATTTGTAAGTTATTCTCTGGTGTTAAGAAACCTGGCTATGATTATTTACAATTTATTTGCATATTTGCTTAGTCTTCTCTCAACTATGCAGGCCACTCCCTCTGCTACTGGCCACCCCACATCCCTCCCCTTACTGGCCCCAACCTTGAAGGGAGCCTCGCTGGCTGAATTCCTAGCTCCCATCAGAGTGGCCACTCTGATGGTTGAGTCTCTGTCACAGATGGCCTTGCTGCAATCACACTGACCCAGGCCATCTCCCTGCTGACCCTGTCGCACACAGTCCTGCTCACTGGCCTCTGACTGTGCTGGCCCTGCCCTCATTGAACTGCTCAGCTCCCTGTCCCTGGCCAGAGGAGATACGTCATGATTAGGAGTGTGAACACAGGAGCCAGGCCCCTGGGTTTAAGCCAGCTTGCTGTTTACTGACTGGCCGACCTTGTTCAGGTTAATCTCTTTCCCAATTTCCTCATCTGTAAAAATGAGGATACTACCACCTGCCACAGGGTTATGAAAAGTAGAGGCTTGGCCGGGCGCGGTGGCTCAAGCCTGTAATCCCAGCACTTTGGGAGGCCGAGACGGGTGGATCACGAGGTCAGGAGATCGAGACCATCCTGGCTAACCCGGTGAAACCCCGTCTCTACTAAAAAATACAAAAAACTAGCTGGGCGAGGTGGCGGCGCCTGTAGTCCCAGCTACTCAGGAGGCTGAGGCAGGAGAATGGCGGGAACCCGGGAGGCGGAGCTTGCAGTGAGCTGAGATCCCTGGCCCTGGTGACATATTTAAACCCACACATACATATGTGTATGTGTATATATGCATATAGGTCTATACTTGTATAGATACCTTTTCTGTTTCATTAAAACCATGAGGCCAGCACGGTTCTTCATGCCTGTAATCCCAGCCTGTGGGAGGCTGAGGCAGGCGGATCACTTGAGGTCAGGAGTTCAAGACCAGCCTGACCAACATGGAGAAACCCCGTCTCTACTAAAAATACAAAATTAGCCGGGCGTGGTGGCACATGCCTGCAATTCCAGCTATGCGGGAGGCTGAGGCAGGAGAATTGCTTGAACCCGATACGTGGAGGCTGCAGTGAGCCAAGGTCGCACCATTGCACTCCAGCCTGGGCAACAAGAGTGAAACTCTGTCTAAAAAAAAAAAAAAAAGAAAAAGAGACTCTATGTGAAGGGCCTAGAACAGAGTCATTGCTGTATTCCTATAAGACACACATGCCTATTCATTGCCCTTTCATTGGGATAGAAGCCCTGCGAGGGTGGGGATGTTTGTCTGTTTTGTTTACAGATATGTCCCAAATCACTGGAACAAGCCCAGCAGTTAGCAGATTTGTGTGTTTGCTGAATGAATATAATTGGCATTAGCCGTTTATGTGAAAGTGAGCATGTCTTTGTGTTAAGTTGAAAGCTTAGATTTCCAAAAAATGGAATTAGAGTATTCCTGTAGGTACGATGGTCTCAGATTTCCTAAGGTTCTTTGTCAGTGGTAACAGCTGAAACAAAACCCTCACCACCTTTTAAGTAGCCAGGACTGAACACTCATCTTACCTTACTCATCTGATTACTCATCTTTATCTTCTTAGGACCACCTTTCACTCACCTGAGGACACCACAGAAGATGGTATATTATGGGAAACCTTCTTGTAAAAACAACTACGAGAATTATATTGACATAATAAAATATGTGTTCAGCGCTTACAAGAGAGAGTCCCCTCTCATCGTCAACACTATGGGATGGGTTTCAGGTAAGCCTGCACGCACACATCTGCAAGGGAAGGACAGGCAGTGTGAGTACTCCTAGCTTTCAGACAGCCACATTAAAGCCCAGTGTTTTGTTTTTTGTTTTTAATTGAGGCAGGGTCTCACTCTGTCGTCCAGGCTGGAGTGCAATGGCATGATCTTGGCTCACTACATCCTCTGCCTCCCGGGCTCAAACAATCCTCCCACCTCAGCCTCTGGAGTAGTTGGGACCACAGGCGTGTGCTACTCTGCCCAGCTAATTTTTGTAGTTTTAGTAGAGATGGGGTTTTGCCATGTTGGCCATTCTGGTCTTGAACTTCTGGCCTCAAGTGATCCGCCCACCTTGGCCTACCAAGGCGTGCTGGGATTACAAACACGAGTCACAGCGCCCAGCTGAAGTCCAACTTATTGATGGTTTCTTTGTCTTAGAACAAATGCACCCATTTGTCTTAGGAGCGTGTCACTGTTCTTGAGCGTGTCACTGTTCTCGAGTGCATCAGCTGTGCTAATGTCTCTTCCCCACAGACCAGGGGCTCCTGCTTCTCATTGATCTGATCCGATTGCTGTCTCCCAGCCACGTGGTTCAGTTCCGCTGTGACCACAGTAAATATATGCCAGACCTTACCCCGCAGTATGTAGATGACATGGATGGCTTGTACACAAAAAGCAAGACCAAGATGAGAAATCGACGTTTCAGACTCGCAGCATTTGCAGATGCTTTGGAATTTGCTGATGAAGAAAAAGAGAGTCCAGTTGAGTTCACTGGACATAAACTGATAGGTGTTTATACAGACTTTACATACAGAATAACTCCAAGAAATAGGTAACTAACCCTCATTTGGCTGAAGAATTAACGTTTCCTTCTGTCGAAAAAGGCCTGCCATTCTCAATTCCTCTAAAGGCCTGAGTCCTCTAAAATCTTCAGTTCTCTATCACAGCTGTGCATTTACAAAGAAGAACCAGTTGTTTTCTGAACTGTTAGGTTTCCAGGGAAATACCCAGAAGTGGCCCCTAACTCTGGCCGCCAGCAACTTGGACTTAAAGGAGAGTCTTTACGCGTCCTGTTTTTCCAGTCGGGGTCTGTCAAGAGGGGGCAGTGTTGGAAAGCCCAGTACTCTGTGAAAATGTGACCTCTGTGATGACAGGTGTGAGAGGTGGCCGTGGAGGGTTAAATGTCTACTTACCTTGTTGTAATTTGCCTTTCAGAGAGTCACATAACAAAATTCTTCGAGATCTGACCATCTTGAGTTACCTTAGCCAGCTGCAGCCCCCGATGCCCAAACCACTTTCTCCTTTACATAGCCTGACACCCTATCAGGTAATCTGAACTTACGGGAGAAATTGTCTTCATTTTGTTACACACTTGTGTGGTTTTCTGTGTGCTGGGCACTCTTCTAAGCACTTCATAACTTCTCGCTCATTTAATCCTCAGAACATCCCAGTGTCATAGGTTCTGTTGTTATTCCCATTTTATAGATGGAGAAACTAAGGTGTAGAGAGGCTGAGGGACTCAGCAATAGGGGCCGGGCTGGCATGCAGGCCCAGGCAGTTCAGCTCTGGTGACCGCTCTTAGCCATGGTTCTGTCCTGAGGTTGAGTGTGGCTCTGTGCTGGGTTTGAATGTCCCGCCTGGTTGCAGGGGCTGCTCCAGCACTTCCACTTTTCAGCTGTAGAACAGGGGTGCTACTGGGCCTCAGAGAGTGATCGTGTGGATTCAGGGAGCGTTCACAGTGGAACCTGGCACCCAGAGAGCACTCTTAAAGTACTTCACATTAGCCGGGTGCGGTGGCTCACGCCTGTAATCCCAGCACTTTGGGAGGCCGAGGTGGGCGGATCACGAGGTCACGAGATCAAGGCCATCCTGGCTAACACAGTGAAACCCCATCTCTACTAAAAGATAGAAAAAACTAGCCGGGCGAGGTGGCAGGTGCCTGTGGTCCCAGCTATTTGGGAGGCTGAGGCAGGAGAATGGCGTAAACTCGGGAGGCGGAGCTTGCAGTGAGCTGAGATCCGGCCGCTGTACTCCAGCCTGGGCGACAGAGTGAGACTCTGTCTCAAAAAAAAAAATACAAAAAATTGGGGGACACGGTGGCTCACGCCTGTAATCCTAGCACTTTGGGAGGCCGAGGCAGGTGAATCATGAGGTCAGGAGATCGAGATTATCCTAGCTAACACAGTGAAACCCCGTCTCCACTAAAAGTACAACAAATTAGCTGGGCGTGGTGGCTCATGCCTGTAGTCCCAGCTACTTGGGAGGCTGAGGCAGGAGAATGGCGTGAACCCAAGGGGCAGAGCTTGCAGTGAGCCGAGATTGTGCCACTGCACTCCAGCCTGGGCAACAGTGCAAGACTCCGTATTTAAAAAAAAAAAAAATTAGCCAGGCGTGGTGGCACGTACCTGTAGTCCCAGCTACTCGGGAGGTTGAGGCAGGAGGATCGCTCGAACCCGGGAGGCGGAGGTTGCAGTGATCCGAGATCACGACACTGCACTCCAGCCTGGGCGACAGAGCGAAATGCCGACTCCAAAAAAAAAAAAGTACTTCACATTACTGTCGTCAAAAGTAGATTTCCACCACCAGCGTATTTGCAACTTGGAATCCAGGCTGCTAATAATTGTTTTGGGAGGAAAGCATGATAGTGTTAGGATTCAGGATGATGAAAAAGCAAAACTAGCGGCAGGTGGCACTTCTGAAATGCTTACTCTGTGCAGTACTCTGTTCTAAGCCTGTGTAACTCCACTACTTACCATGGTCCTGTTGTTATCCCCATTTTACAGATGGTAAAACCAAGGCCAGGGACTGGGAGTCAGCTTGCCCAAAATGGTGCAGTCAAAGTTTAGGCTAGGATTGAAGTTGCAGGACGCCCGAGTCTGAGCCTGGGTCTGCTGTGCCACACAGCCTGTCCGGTTTTGAGTGCTTGCTCCATGCCAGGCACTCTGCCAAGCATTTAGGGGCTCAGTGACTTCGTGGCCACCCTGTGAGAGAAAGGCTAAGACATGCTTCATTTATAGCTTTGAGCATTGGGAGCTGTCAGGTGGAAGCACTTGCCCAGGCTGGAGTGCAGTGGCGCAATCTCTGCTCATTGCAACCTCCACCTCCCAGGTTCAAGTGATTCTCCTGCCTCAACCTCCCGAGTAGCTGGGATTACAGGCGCCCGCCACCACACCCGGCTAATTTTGTATTTTTAGTAGAGACGGGGTTTCACCGTGTTGGTCAGGCTGATCTTGAGCTCCTGACCTCGTGATCTGCCCATGTCGGCCTCCCAGAGTGCCGGGATTACAGGCGTGAGCAACTGCACCTGGCTGAAGTGGCAGACCTGGGCAGCAAGGATATGTTTCTTGGACCTGATGGTGGCATGGGCTCCAGGCCTCTGAGTCATCTCCCCTGGAGAGTCTTTGCTAATGGGGTTTTAGTTTATGGGTCATTTATTCACCTGGAGATGCTCTGTAACTGAACGTGAAATTTATCTGCCAATACTTTAATCTGTCTTGTATTACTTCACATTTATTTATTTATTTTTTTGAGATGGAATTTTGCTCTTGTTGCCCACGCCAGAGTGCAATGCCGCGTGCTCGGCTCACTGCAACCCCCGCCTCCCGGGTTCAAGTGATTCTTCTGCCTCAGCCTCCCAAGTATCTGGGATTACAGGCACACACCACCATGCCCAGCTAATCTTTTGTATTTTTAGTAGAAACGGGGTTTCACCATGTTAGTTAGCCAGGCTGGTCTCCATCTCCTGACCTCAGATGATCCACCTGCCTCAGCCTCCCAAAGTGCTGGGATTATAGGCATGATCCACCGCACCCGGCCCACATTTATTTTTTAAATTCAAGGTTTTTTTTGTTTTTTTTTTTTGAGACAGTCTCTGTCACCCAGACTGGAGTGTAGTGGCACAATCTTGACTCACTGCAACCTCCGCTGCGTGGGTTCAAGTGATTCTCAATTCTAGTGCCTCAGCCTCCCAAGTAGCTGAGACTAAAGGCATGCACCACCACACCTGGCTAAATTTTTGTATTTTATTTATTTATTTATTTTTATTTTTATTTATTTATTTTTTTTGAGATGGAGTCTTGGTCTGTCATTCAAGCCGGAGTGCAGTGGCACAATCTCAGCTCACTGCAACCTCCGCCTCTCGGGTTTAAGTGATTCTTGTGCCTCAGCCTCCCGAGTAGCTGGAACTACAGGCACGCACCACCATCCCTGGCTAATTTTTTTATTTTTAGTAGAGACAGGGTTTTGCCATGTTGGCCAGGCTGGTCTCAAACTCCTGACCTCAAGTGATCAACCCACCTTGGCCTCTCAGAGGGTTGGGATTACTGGCATGAGCCACTGCACCCGGCCTAAAGAATTTTTTATTTTATTTATTTTTTATTTATTAATTTGTTTTTGAGACAGAGTCTTTCTCTGTTGCCCAGGCTGGAGTGCAGTGGCACGATCTCCGCTCACTGCAACCTCCACCTCCCAGGTTCAAGCGATTCTCCTGCCTCAACCTCCTGAGTAGCTGGGATTACAGGCGCCCACCACCATGCCCAGCTAATTTTGTATTTTTAGTAGAGACCGGGTTTCACCATGTTGGTCAGGCTGGTCTTGAACTCCTGACCTCGTGATCTGCCCACGTCGGCCTCCCAAAGTGCTGGGATTACAGGCGTGAGCCACTGCACCTGGCTGTTTTTATTCTTTAAAGATACTTTTGGGTAGGCACTTTGGCAGACCTATCTTTAGATAGCTGGTTAATCTAGTTGTAAAAATTAGGTGGTTTTTCAAAGTAGCAATGAATAGAGTGAGATGCAAATTCATTTTCCAGGTCCCTTTCAATGCAGTCGCGCTCCGAATTACCCACTCTGATGTCGCCCCTACCCATATACTATATGCTGTGAACGCCAGCTGGGTTGGTCTTTGCAAGATCCAGGATGACGTCAGAGGATACACGAATGGGCCCATCCTGCTTGCCCAGACTCCAATCTGTGACTGCTTGGGCTTTGGTGAGTCTGAGAGTAAAACATATCCATAAACCTACTGAAGAGGATCTACTGCTTTAACTGTAGATGACTGGTTAAAGTCCTTGTAGCTGTGGCTAAGCTACAGAGGTCAGAGAACCCCCACTCATCTATATAGCATGCCTTAGGGGCTGGAGGCCAGGAAGGAAGCAGCTATTTCTCTGCTTCGTCTACCAGCTCCTATAAATGTAGACTTACCAAGGGCCTGGGCTTGGCCCTCTTCTTGCTCGACACTTCTCCCCTATCTCAGTCACTGCTGGGTTCTAAATCCATCTTTAGGCGTTCCCTTTCTGCAGTGTCCTCCAACACAGCTGTTCATCTGCGTTCCAAACCCACCTTGCCAGTGTACATCTCCACTTGAGTGTCTGACTCGCATGTAGACCTGGGACCCTCAGGACCCTCCTGCTCGCACCCTCTCCTCCTTGCCCCAGGTTTGTTCTTGGTCCATTGGAAGATTCACTCTGACATCCAGGTCAGACCCTGGCCCCTCCTTGGCATCCCCTAGCCTTCGTTTGCTACTTTCAGCCCATTAGACGGTCTGTTGGCTTCCGTCTTCAAAATATGTCAGCTTCCTCCACCTCTTCTCAGCATGTTAGTCAGCCACCGCCATCTGCTGAAAAGTTTCTTAACTGAACTCTCCACTTCCTCTCTTAAAATTTATCTCCATAGCCAGGAATGACCTGAACCCAGGCGCAGTTGTGCCACAGCCTGGCACTTCCCATCACTGAGATCCAAGGTCTGGACCAGGGCTCGAAGTGCCCAGCGGGATTGGGTCCCCACCTCCTTGACCTGCCTTGGTTTCTTGAGGTCAATAAACATGGAGTTTTGGAAGGGTGCTGGAGCTAAGTAATCCCAAATTAGCGAAGTCCTTAAATGCACATTTCAGATTTGGACAACACTGTATTTCTCAAAAGCATTTTCACAGAAATTGTGTCATTTAGCACAGACCATAAAGGAGGAACAGTGATGGGGAAAGATCAGGTTGTCTTCTGTATGTTCCTTAGTGGTGGATTTTCCCCCTGGCCTGTACTCACCAACAATCTAGGACTTTTGTTTGTTTGTTTGAGATGGAGTCTTGCTCTGTTGCCCACGCTGGAGTGCAATGGTGTGATCTCCGCTCACTGCAACCTCCGTCTCCCAGGTTCAAATGATTCTTCTGTCTCAGCCTCCTGAGTAGCTTGGATTACAGACATGCGCCACCCCGCCCAGCTAATTTTGTATTTTTAGTAGAGATGGGATTTCACCATGTTGGTCAGCCTGGTCTTGAGCTCCTGACCTTGTGATCCGCCCACCTTGGCCTCCCAAAGTGCTGGGATTACAGACGTGAGCCACTGCGCACAGGCTGTTTTTTGTTTTTTGTTTGTTTGTTTGTTTGTTTTTTGAGACAAAGTCTCTCTCTGTCTATTTGGACTCACTGCAATCTCTGCCTCCTGGGTTCAAGTGATTCTTGTGTCTCAGACTCCTGAGTAGCTGGGAATTACAGGTGCGCGCCACCATGCCCAGCTGATATTTGAAATTTTAGTAGAGACAGGGTTTCATCATGTTGGCCAGGCTGGTCGCAAACTCCTGACCTCATTCAATCCACCGGCCTCAGCCTCCACAGTGCTGGGATTACAGGCGTAGCCACCACAGCTGGCCCAATCTAGGACTTTTGCATGTAGACCATTTTGGTTCCTCATGGCTGAACACAGGGAAGGTACAAACTGTCCCAATTTTCAAGGACTCTGTCTCTTGACTCTTTGTATTTTCTTTTTTTTTTTTTTTTTGAGACAGAATCTCGCTCTGTCACCCAGGCTGGAGTTCAGTGGCGCCATCTCAGCTCACTGCAAGCTCCGCCTCCTGTGTTCAAGCTATTCTCCTGTCTCAACCTCCCGAGTATCTGGGACTACAGGTGCCCGCCACCACGCCTGGCTAATTTTTTGTATTTTTAGTAGAGATGGGGTTTCACCGTCTTGCCCAAGCTGGTCTCGAACTCCTAATCTCAGGCAGTCCACCCTCCTTGGCCTCCCAGAGTGCTGTGATTACAGGCGTGAGCTACTACACCCGGCCAGCTCTTTGTATTTTCAAAACAAAACAGAGTTGAAATCAAGACTTATGTTCAAAACCATTCTGCAGTTTCTAAAGGTGGAGAGGTTTGATGTTTTCCAAAAGGGTGATTTTTGTGTTGTGCGCATGTCTTGAAGGCATCTGTAGAGGCATTGACATGGAGAAGCGGCTGTACCACATCCTCACCCCTGTGCCCCCAGAAGAGCTAAGGACCGTGAATTGTCTGCTCGTTGGAGCTATTGCCATTCCACATTGTGTCCTTAAGTGCCAGGTGAGCCTTACCCCAGGCACAGCCCTGGAAGGAGCCTACTCAGGTCCACAGGAAGTGAGGAGCTGAAGTAGGGTCAGGGGTCATGGGAATGGGTGATCTGGGAAACCTATACTTTGTTGTAGGTCCTGAGTGAGCCAAGACGGTGTCAGGGCCGCCTCCAGGGCCTGAGACCATGAATCACTGTCACTCATGGTGTCAGTGTCGCGATCTGGGCTCACTGCAACCTGTGGTGGAGCCTTTACATAGGAGTAGGTTGTGTTGGAGCAAGCAGGGGCCCTCTCAGGTTTGCCTTCCTGAGGACAGTCTTCAGAGGCATCACGGGACCAGGCCAGAGCTTCTGTGTGCCCCAGAGCCAGCCACAGGGGCTGCGAGTGGGCTCTGGGTACAGGGGATGTTCCCACCATTCTCATCCTCCCGTGTCCCTCTTTTGAAAGGGACGTGCACTGCACCCCCACTCAGCCTCACGCTGTTTGCTGTGTTGATGGAATGGGACAGAAGGGAGGCCCTGGCACGTTTGTTACCGAGCCAGTTGATTAAAGGGGGCTCTGAAGGAAGGGATCAAATGCCTTAAAAGTGAAAAGTCCCCACCCAGACTGTCAGGACACTACCTTCAGGTGGGAGAGAGCGCTGTAAACCCCTCTGGCCTGGACCTGGAGTGTTTCCATGAATTCTCTTTGTGTTTCCATTTCAGCGTGGGATCGAAGGGACCGTACCTTACGTCACAACGGATTACAATTTTAAAATTCCTGGAGCATCAGAGAAAATTGGAGCAAGAGAACCTGAGGAGGCACATAAAGAGAAACCATACCGAAGACCTAAGTTCTGTCGAAAAATGAAGTGATGCTCGCATTTTTAACAAGGGAAGAAACTTTCCTACCTGAAAGCTTTGTCTCAAGCCTGACCACGAGAGACATGATGGAGTTTCATGGCCATGAATGGTGCCCTTATCAGCAACACTGTTTTCTGTGTAATTCGTGAATGTCGTATAGTAGTCTTAAGTTTCTCTTTTAAAGCTGCATGAGCTAGAATTTGCTCTAGTCTTCTGTGTGGTACTCATACTTGCTGTCTGCTGTGCTTTCCAGAGGGAGTAAAACAGCAGAGAACAGTTTGTGTGCCATTAAAACAGAGATTCCTCAGAAAGTTCTTCAAGGACCTGGCTATTAGAATCAGGATAAAAATACGGAAACTGGGGCCATTACAATGTACTGAGAAGGAAGGAAGAAGGCCAACCTGCAGGATCTCAAGCATAATGAATACAAGGGCTCACCACAGCGTTGCCTGAGTCATGTGCAGACCTGGGGGCCAGCGACTGTCTGCTTCCTTGGAACCAGTGTGGATGGTTATAGCCCATCCATTTGGTGCAGTTGTACTTGGTCTGTTACATTCAATCAAGGTTTAATAGATAGGGCCGGGCGTGGTAGCTCACGCACACCTGTAATCCTAGCACTTTGGGAGGCTGAGGCTGGAGGATTGCTTGAGCCTCTGAGTTCTAGGCTGGAGTACACGAACTACTCCAGCCTGAGCGACAGAGTAAGACCTTATCTTTTTTAAAAAAGAAAATAAAAACTTCAACGGGTTCGATAGATATAAATTTGGACCCAACAGCCCTTCTTTTTTTTTTAATCCTGAGGTTTTATGCCGAGGAAATTGCTTTCAAATCTGGAAAACCTCGGGGCCAGGCACGGTGGCTCACGCCTGTAATCCCAGCACTTTGGGAGGCCAAGGCAGGAGGATCACAGGGTCAGGAGATCAAGACCATCCTGGCTAACACGGTGAAACCCCGTCTCTACTAAAAATACAAAAAGCTAGCCGGGCGTGGTGGTGGGCACCTGTAGTCCCAGCTACTCGGGAGGCTGAGGCAGGAGAATGGCGTGAACCCGGGAGGCAGAGTTGCAGTGAGCCAAGATCGTGCTACCACACTCCAGCCTGGGAGACAGAGCGAGACTCCTTCTCAAAAAAAAAAAAAAAAAAAAAGAAAATCTGGAAAACCTCTTCTGGGGGCTCTTTTTTTTTTTTTTTTTTTTTTTTTGAGACGGAGTCTCGCTCTGTCGCCCAGGCTGGAGTGCAGTGGCCGGATCTCAGCTCACTGCAAGCTCCGCCTCCCGGGTTCACGCCATTCTCCTACAGGCGCCCGCCACCTCGCCCGGCTAGTTTTTTGTATTTTTTAGTGGAGACAGGGTTTCACCATGTTAGCCCATGTTGGGATGGTTTCGATCTCCTGACCTCGTGATCCGCCCGTCTCAGCCTCCCAAAGTGCTGGGATTACAGGCTTGAGCCACCGCGCCCGGCCTCTGGGGGCTCTTAAAAAGTAGATTTGTCCAAATTGACTTCTGGTCTGAGGCCAGAGACAACCACAGGGCAGAGCTGGAGACTGGGCTGTTTGGAAGGAAGAAGGACTGGCAGACCAGCTCTTGGGAAAGCTCCATTTTTGCCTGTGGGAGGCTGGACCTGAACTTGCACCTATGAACAACCCTGCCCTTTAGAGCTTTTTCCTGGGGGTGCTGGAGGCTGGTGACCGGACTGCCATTCTTCATGTCCTCCCTGGTGCTTCCGACCCTTTGTCCTCTAGGTTGGAAGTGGATTGTGTAAACATGTGATGGGACCAGGTCACATCATTTTCTGCATTTAAGACAACAGGATACTTACTGGGGCAGAGGTTCCAATTGGTATTACGACCACCGCCATCTTCCCAGCATGATCACATTGTAAGACTATTAGGATGTGTGGGTTTTAACACTTAACATTTATATACAATTAAACTGTTGGTTATCATTGTCTTTAGTATTTTATGGTGGCCCCTCAGCACCTCTTAGACCCAACAGCAAACGACTTAAAATAAGCCCAGGAAACTTTGCTATGGTGATTGGTTTTGATGCCTTTGAGACAATTGAGTCTAGCTTCTTAGTTGCCCCTTATTTATGTTGAAGTCTGGCTCATTCGTATCATGTTTTACTGTGCTGGCCTTGTAAAGAATTTTAAGACAATGCACCACCATCAACATTTTGTCTTTCTCCACTTGTATCTTTACAGTTATACTCACTGGAGGTCATTGCAGCAAGGCTCTGGAAGAATGAAACTGGTGCCCTGTAATTATATTTGCATCCAATCTAGGTTTGCCTTCAGGCTTTAAATACAGCCTGCATGGTGGTCAAGTCTTTTTCTTCAGTTCCTATCACTAAAGAAAAATCGTTGCCTCTAGAGGGAGCCATCAGCTGTTGGTCAGGTAGCCTTACTGGGGCTAGAGTTGACCCAGGAAGCTGTACAGGGTTTAGGGAAGGAGGTTCGGAGACCGGGAGCCTAGGCCGCGGTGCACTTTAGCTTGTGCGGGTCAGACCTGCAGCAGCACCATTCCCCGGGATGACGATTCATTCCATTATTGACGGCAGTGGCTTTTCTTTCCCTTTCCTTTTTTTTTTTTTTTTTTTTGAGACAGAGGTTTTCGCTCTTGTTGCCCCAGGCTGAGTGCAAATGGCGCAGATCTGGGGCTCACTCGCAACCTCCGCCTCCAGTTCAAGCGATTTCCTGCCCTCGCTCACGAGTAGCTGGATTACAGGCATGCACACCCCCCCGGCTCTAATTTTCTATTTCTTATTTTCACCTGCTGGCCAGGTTGGCTCTAGAGCTCTGACCCCAGGGACCCCCATCTTTGCCCCCAAAGGTTGGATTAGAGGCATGAGCCATGGTCGGGCTGCGCGAAAAGGATGTAGGGGAAGACAGATGACTTTTTCATTTCCAACATCAATTATTGGTCAGATTGCTGTAATAAAGGATTCTCCATTGCTGCTTTCTTTGTTTGAGGACAGGAGTCTTCCTCCCCGTTCCCAGGTGGTGTGCTGCAGTGACGGCGATTCTTGCTCACTAACAGCCTATCCCCTTCCCAGGTTCAGACATTTTTCTGCTCCAGTTTCCCAAGTAGGCTGAGAACAGGAGAGGCACCACCACGCTGTGTAAATTAGAGAGATGGGTTCAGATTGTTGGCTCGACCTCGCTGATCTGTGCCCCAGGGCCTCCAAAATGCTGAAGCAATTTTTTTTTTTTGACAGAGTCTAGCTTGTTGCTCGGAGCAGTGGTCGTGATCCGGCACTGTACTCGTCTCCCAGTTCAATCGATTCTCGTGCCCAAACTCCGTACGTAGCTGGGAACAGTGATTACCCAGGCCCAGGCAAATTTTTTGTATTTTAGTAGAGTTGGTTACATGTTGGCAAGCGTCTCGAACTCCTGACCTTGTGATCCACGCCCTCGGCCTCCCAAATGCTGGGGATTACAAGGCGTGCCCAGCCCGGCCTGTAACAGCTATCTTTACAAAACTCGTTAGTTTTGGTTGGTTTGTTTTTTTTGCAAAGGCTCTCATCTGTCGGCCAGGGCTGGAATGCAGTGGCCCCTGATCTCAGGTCACTTTGCAACCTGTGCCCCCCGCACAAGGTATTCTCTGCATAGCCTCCACCGTGGCTGGGTTAGCAGGGTACCTGCCACCGCACACCCAGGCTAATTTTTGGTATTTTAGGTGAGACGGCGATTTCACCTGTTGCGTGGTCAGGCTGGTTTGAACTCCCAAACCCTCAGGGTATCCGCTTTCCTCAGCCTCCCAAAGTGTTGGGATTATAGGCCATGAGCAGCATGCGCCTGAGCCTCTTTAGGTAATTTTTTGTATGTAATTTTAAAGTATCCCAAAGTAGGTGGGAATGACTTTTGGGAATTACAGGATGCCCGCCCACCACACAGGCTAATTTTTTTTTTGAGAACGGGTCTCACTTTGTGACCAGTGCTGTTGATGTATTGCACGATCTTGGCTCACTGCAGGACTCCGCCCCCGGGTTCACGCCGTTTCTTCCTACCTCAGCCTCCGAGTAGCTGATACAGGCACTGCTACCGTCGCCCGGCTATTTTTTCTATTTTCAGTTGGACAAGGTGGGCCGGCATCACAAGGTCAGAGATCGCAAGAGCCATCCTGGGCTAACATGGCTGAAAATCCATCTCTACTAAAAATGAACAAAACAACTTAAGCCAGGCGTGGTGGTGGGCCCTGTCCCAGCTATCAGGAGGCTGAGCAGGAGGAATGCTGTGAAGCGCCAGAAGGCGGAGCTGGAGTGAGCCAGATCACGCTACTGCACTCCAGCCTGGTGACAGAGCAAGACTCCATCTCAAAAAAATTAAAAAGAGGCGGGTGCGGTGGCTCACGCCTGTAATTCAATTACTGGCACTTGTTGGGGAGGCCAAGGCGGGTGGATTCGCACGGAGGTCAGGATATCGAGACCATCCTGGCTAACACACGTGAAAACCGCCGTCGTTTACTAAAAATACGAAAAATTAGCGGGCGTCGGTGCGAGGCGCCGGTAAGTTCCCAGCTACTTGGGAGGCTGAGCCGGGAGGCGGAGCTTGCAGTGAGCCACGATTGTGCACTGAACTCCAGCCTGGGTGCAGAGTGAGACTCTTGTCTCAAAAAAAGAAAAAGGAAAATCTGGAAAACCTCTTCTGGGGGCTCTTAAGTAGATTTGTCCAAATTGACTTCTGGTCTGAGGCCAGAGACAACCACAGGGCACAACTGGAGACTGGGCTGTTTGGAAGTAAGAAGGACTGGCAGACCAGCTCTTGGGAAAGCTCCATTTTTGCCTGTGGGAGGCTGGACCTGAACTTGCACCTATGAACAACCCTGTCATTTAGAGCTTTTTCCTTGGGGGTTTTCCTCGTGTTAGCCAGGATGGTCTCGATCTCCTGACCTCATGATCCACCTGCCTCGGCCTCCCAAAGTGCTGGGGTTATAGGCATGAGCCACTGTGCCCGGCCAATTTTTTTGTATTTTTAGTGGAGATGTGGTTTTACTATGTTGGCCAGGCTGGTCTTGAGCTCCTGACCTCGTGATCCGTCCACCTCGGCCTCCCAAAGTGCTGGGATTACAGACGTGAGCCACCGCGCCTGGCCTAGGTCATTTGTTTTTAGATTTGGATGACAAGATCGTGGATAAGACAGCAGGCTTTGATTATAGAGCGCTGAGTTCAAATCCTGGCTCTGCCACTTGTCAGTGGTGTAA